TTTTTTCCTGGGTTTGGCGTGTTCCATCATGAAATGAATGAAAGTTTTGATCTTTTTGCTGATTTATTTTTTTTTAATAAATTTTTGGTGATTTCATGTCGAATTTGATGTCGGATTAGGAACCATATCTTAGCCCATTCAATTGTTTTGTCTTTCTCAAATTGACCCCAAATAACTGTGCATCTTGGCAAATTAGAGTAACTTACCTGTTTATATATGGAATGAGTGAGTTGCTAAGTAGTAGTAGCTCAGTTGTATGCATTAGTAATGAGAGTGAAAGTATTGAGAATATTTATTTGGATTCATACAAAAATTCTATGGAGTCATCGGATAGTTTTTTTTACGGAGTCATCCATCACTTAATGTGTTGACACCTGTACAGAGTGTATTTATTGCAGGACACGTGTCAATACACCATTTGTGAATAAGTGTGGATGGCTCCATAAGTCGTGCCAAGCGATGGCTCCATATCAAAACTGTGGATTTATAAATGTTTCCAACTAATGAACTTATTGCTCAAAGTTCATGACTATTCCTTTAAAATTATTCGAATGGAAGGGTTTATGGGGATAATGTTGTTGGGTTCGGTTGAGATTGGAATCGAAATGACGAAACTTATCATGGTAACTATTGGAACAGAAAGGAAGTCTCTTGTTGTATTTCTAAGACAAATTATCCATACAATGTTGATGATGTTTTCTTATTCCTACAATGTTGGAGATAATGTACGCGTGAAATCTTATCACTATGTCTCATGATGAATTTTGTGAAAATTGAATGTCTTGAAGAATTGACATAACAGATGATGATGATAGTACATCATATCATTTTCAATTCAACATTTTAGTTGTAAACATTTTGCCGCCTAAGCCATCCAAGTATAGGTTAGTTGTTCAATGTGAATAACTGCTGAATCGCCTTTCCCTTTTTCTCCTTTATTATATCTTGAGTTTTGAAGCTTTATATTTTCTCTTCCGTGGATGGAATTGATGAACATACTATTGAAACTAATGACTTTTGGTGTGAAATACGTATATTTTTTTGTTTTGTTTCTGAAAAGGTATGAGAAAAAATAATAGCTTTCTGGCCAATTTTGACCCGACAGCAGCTCTTTTTTTTTTTTTTTTT